TTCTGTTCTCGGCCGATAAGTAGGATCTGTAATTAAAGGCGGAGAAAAATGAAAGGGGGATAAGGAGCTGGCGTTCGCCCTTCTAACGCCGCTTTGAACACAAAGCCCTGCCTGCTTCGCCGTGGCAAACCCGTAGAAACAGCCGCCGGGGGCCCCGCACGGCGTGGCACGGCCACCGCTGCCACCGCAGACACGCACCGGGCACACCGCGGTGGCGCCGGATGGTGCAGCTGGTTGGCCGGACCCCGCGCCCGTAGGGATGCTGCATCCAGGGCTGTACGGCCGTGGAGGGGCATCCAGCCGCGCTGCCGCATCCCCCCGCTTTATCCCTCACCTTTCTTGGGCGGTCAGGAGCGCAATCTCCGTTATTCCTCCTGTCCTTCCCTATTTGGCAAACAGCGATCCCGTTTTCCCTGGAGTTTCGTTTCTAATGGAGCTTGAAATTATCTGGGCTTTGTTATTTGCTCGCGTGCTCGCAGGCGAGGGGTTATGGATGGAGGCAGCGGCGTGGGGGCTGCCCGTGCTCCCTCTGCCGCCTCCGCACACGCCGCCGCACCCCAAAGCCACCCGTGCTGCGCCCAGCAGTTAAACCCTGCCGCCAGCAGCTCTTACATCCACACCTCAATGCATAGCTATTTTTCTTTCCCAAGGAGAAAGGGCCTGCTGGGCTCTGACCCTTCAAACACCCCTTTCCAGCACCCAAAAGGTGGGGAGAGGCGGGAGGCAGGGGGGGCAGCAGGTGGACGAAGAGGGGAGCTTCCCAGTGCAGCGACGGAAAATGCGGCGAGGAAGAAGGACTGGGAGAAAAACAACAGTAATAAACATTTTATGAAGCAGAAAATGGCTTATAAAGAAGTCAACTTTTAAAGGCAATTTATATAATCCTGCCAAGCGCACATAAATGCGGGGATGGCTCTCTGCAGCGTCGGAGTGTCCCTTAAAGGGACAAATAGCTCCGGCCGCCCCAGCGGACCGACAGGCAGTGATGATGATGCCCTGGGATGCATTTTGCGGCTGGCGGCGCAGATCTGTGCCTTCGATGGCATCCCCCGGGTCAGCGCGGCCTCTGCTCCCACACACCGTGGGTTGCAGCACGCCCAAGCCCCACTGACGGCGCTGGGTCGGGGCTGAAGGTCTGGAAAAGCACTGGAAAACCCAGGAGGAAAGCGAAGCATGCAGTGGGAGAGGAGCTGGGAGAACACGGAGCCAGCTGGGGTGCCTGACGTGCAGCACGGCGGCTTGTCAGCGCGGATGGATACAAAGGATGGCAGCAAAAACCTCCCCAGGACCTTCCTGCGCTTTTATAGGTACATTTTGCAGGTGTCTCGCCCGAGCGGGGTCGCAAACAGAGGATGTAAAGCTAGCAAACAGCATCGCCGTGCGGGCTGCAGCCCTGGCACCTCCACCTGCCGCCAGGGATGGTCAGCATCGCTGACATGGTGGGGGGACACGGCTGGGGACATCAGGAGCAGGGGGACAGCCCTGATGGGCCTTGACGGACAGACCCCCATGGCTCTGCGCAGAGCGGAGCCGGCCTGTGCCGGTGGACCCCCTGCAGAGCCCTGGATGCAAATCTGGAGGCCAGAAGCTTCTCACTGGGAAAACTGGTCGGCCAAGCCGCTGCAAACTGGGAGCTTTTTGTGGTCTCTTATTGAGCCAGTGCCAGGTGGTCCCAGTGCCCCATGGTGGGAGCCTGCCCTGTGGCAAGAGCACCCAGCTCCCGCCTTCCTGGGGCTCTCTGAGCCTTCGCCGGTGGGTGAACCTGCATCCCCAAGAGACCCTCGCTGCGCAGGTGGGGAAGGGCATGGCCTGTCCCCCCTCCAAATCACCACGGGTGATACGACAGCCCCGTGCCGCAGCCTGCCCTGACGCCCACCCATCCCTGCCCACCGTGCCACCCCGAGCAGCCACCCAGCTCTGGGGTGAAATGAGCCACAGGGACAACGTGAGGGGGGTATCCTGGTGCCATTGCACCAGGGACCTCGGGGCTAAGAGTGCTTTTGGCCAAGCAAAGTGCTCTGGGGACACAGGGGGACATGGCCCTGGCTTGGCCTGGCCAGGAGATGGGGGCGGGGGGGGCTGAGGGTGGGCGAGGACAAGAAGCAGGCATGGGGCAGCAGAGCACGGGGCAAGAGAAGCGTTTTAGGAAGGGAGAAGCACTTTGCAAAGCCCCCCCGAGGCGGGAGGCTGAGCTCAATCCCTTTGGCAACGCCAGCACGGCAGGTGTGCAGCTGGGCAAGGCGGGAAAAAAAAAAAGGAGAAAAGAAGAAACTTCCCCTGTAGAGCTGGGTCATGAGCGGCCACTGGCAGCGGCCTCCCAGCCGCTCGGGTTCCTGCTCCTGTTTCCTTTTCCCCCGGACTTCCATAGCAACCCATCTGCGGCGAGGTTTAATGGGGCTGCCATTAGCACTAATGCAGCGCAAACACTCAGCATCTGCCGGCGCGCCTTCGGATGGAAACACAAAAATAACCGCGCTCGCTGCAATCTATCATCGACTCCGGCGCGAGGTTAGGACGCGACACGCCGGGAGAGGAGGGGAGAGCTGCGGCCAGAAGGAAAAAGCCGCTCAGTAGGGGAGGGAGGAGAGGAGGAGCTGGAGATGCTGCGCTGCCGTCTTCCGTGCCTGATGCCTGTGCCAGCACCGGCAACAAGCCGGGGGCGGCAGCAGAGCCGGTGTCACGGTGCTGCCACACAGGTCTGACCGTGCCCTGCCGTTTTATGGCCGAAGGATGGCAAAAGGAGGCTGAACGCTGGCAGCAAGAGCCATTTACGCAGCCCCTCCATCCCTCTGCTCTGCCTGGGAACCAGGGCTGGCGCAGGCAGGGCTGGCGCAGGCAGGGCTGCCTGCTGGGGGGAGAGCAAAAGCCCATCACCCCGGGTGCCGTGCGCAGAGCCGGACCAGTCCATCAAGTGTCCCAGCCGGGTCTGGGCTGTCCTGATAAAAGCTGCGGCAAGCTCTGCGGTGACGCATCGCTGCACATTGTTTCTGGGTGACTCGCTCCTAATTACCTTGATTAAGTGGTTGCAAACAGTGCTATTAAAAATATTTTTTCTACGAAAGTGGATTTCTGAAAGGTTTGTGCCATGAATGGCAAAACAAGCCAAGAGCTCCCCAGCGCTACAGCCTTTCCCAGCCTGTTTTGTATCCCGACTTATCCCCCTCGCAGCAGAGGGGAGCTCGGTCTGGATGGAGAGGGAGCTCTGCGGCTGCGGAGGAGCCCGGAGCAGGAGCGCCGGCAGCTGCCCATCCCTGCAGCCCAAGGGACGAGCAGAAGCACTAAGGACTGCTTCAGCAGGCAGGGACCTTGCTCCAGCTCTGCCCGCCCTGCCCATGTCACGGCCACAAGGCACCCACCCCTGGGCACCAGCCCAGCATGGGGACACCACCGTGTCCCCAGGGTGTCTGTGGCCAAGCTTTGGGTGCTGCCCAGGGATCAGCTGCCCTGGGGCTCCAGACCCCAGAGGACAACACAGATCAGGCCAGCACTAGGGATGGAGGTGCGAGCCCATGGGAGATGCTCACTGCTCCCCCAGCACTGCAGCCTGCCTCCCCTGGAGCCCTGAGCCCGCAGCCGCGGGCGTCCCGGCAGGCTGGAGCTGCCCCCGGGAGCTGGCGAGAGGGTCCAGCCTTTGCTGTGCCCCCGGGGACAGTGACCGGGGCCGCAGGCAGCATGGAGGCAGAGCTCGCTCCAAGCACTGGGAGGCACCGGTGTTGGCATCAGCCTGTGCCCACACCAAACCTCGTCATCCTCCTAGCCTCCCCTCCATCGGCCTGCCAGAAAGAGGTGACAGTAATTTCGGCAGCACTCCCATGCAGAAAGGTCTCGGTGACCACCAGTGACAATGACAACAGTCTGCTGGACGGGAGGGCCAGCGGGGACATCTCAGCTCTCCTTAGCGAGGATGCATCTGCTAAGGAAGGGAAGGCCCCTGCGAGCTCAGCCTTTCCATGTGTCTATGGGACACAGCTCCTGTGGGAATGAGAATTGGCCATGAGCATGTGGCAAACAAAAGCCAAGCAGCTCAAGACCTTGCCTCCTCTGCTGCTTCTCCTGCCTCTTCCTCTCCACATCAAACCCTGGTGACCATCACCATCGGCAGAAGGGTCTGCAGGAGCGGAATGTGGCTCCAGGTCTTCATCTCCTCTCCTTCCTGAGCGGATCGTGGTTGCAGACAGAGAAGTACCCCCCAAAACACACCAGCAAGGCTCAGCAGGGGGGCTGTCCCCTCAGCGACTGCAGGGGGTTCCCTGGGGCTGGGCAGGATCCGGCCCGACCCGGAGGAAGGTGCTGGGTGGCTTAGGAGCATTTTTTATTGTAGACTCCGTTTGCACTGGAAGGAAAACAATCTTTCCTTCCTTTTGTATTATTGTTATAATTTGAGAGCTTTTCCAGGCAGAATCCTTCAGGTTCCCGCTGAGTGCTATCACCGCCAGAATTACAAAGTCAAATGCAATCATTAAACCTGCGTCTTCCCTCTCCCAGCCCAGATTGCTCCTTCCCCCACAAACAGCCCCCGCCACAACTGCTGGCAGCTGCCACGGCTGCGCCGGCGCGTGACCACAGCCGCTGCCGTCACCCCACGCGGGACCCTGCTCGGCCCCAAACCCGCCAGTCGTCAGAGATGGCCCGGGGGTGAGGGTCCCCTCAGCCCCCACAATCTCAGTGTTTAACCACCAGCTTGACCTTCACCTCCTGCCTTCTCCTTAGGGAGCGCACTGGAAACAAGCTCAAAATGACTTCATTTGCTCTCGTTAGTGCTGGCAGGCGGCGGTGCCGGGGCTGCCCGTGTGCCAAGCAGCGTGGCACGGCCAGCGGTGGCTCACGAGGGAGCCGAGAACATGGGCAAGGAGGGAAGGAAGAGCTGAGGGATGGGAGCGGGGGTGGGACGAGGAGCTGAATCCTGTGCTAGGAGTCATCCCCGAGGCCGATGCCTCCACAGAGCTCAGCATCCAGGAGGAAATGGGGTGGGAATGGCCAGGTCATGCGCGGAACCTTACCCGGATGTTGTCCTGCCAGTGGTGAGCCTTCTGGAACTTCTCCGCCGCATTGGCCAGTCTCTGCAAAGCAAGCCGGAGAGGAGAAGTGAGCTCAAGGAAAGCAATAGGAGCCCGGCATGGTCCACGTCAATGCAGGAGCATGGGTGCTGCACCAGTTCCCTCCTTTTTGGGGATCTCCTGGGACCACAACATCTCTCTGCTACGCAAGGAGGCAAGCATGTGGGCAGCGATGCCTGGAGAAGGATGTCCCCAGGCACGGACAGCCAGTGTTTCTGTTTGCTCCTGCCATTCACAGAGTTACACAGAATCACAGAATGGTCAGGGTTGGAAGGGACCTCTGGAGATTATCCAGTCCAACCCCCCTGCTCCACCAGGGCCACCTACAGCAGTGGCACAGGACGGTGTCCCGGCAGGGTTTGAATGTCTCCAGTGTGGGAGACTCCACCACCTCTCTGGGCAGCCTGTGCCAGTGCTCCACTACCCTCAAAGTAAAGAAGTTCCTCCTCATGTTCAGATGGAACTTCCTATGTTCAATTTTGCTCATTCCTGGAGCAAGCCAGTGTCTCCAAAGGGATTGCTGCCACTTGAACTCCATCAGGGCTGAGCCATCGCAGCTTGGCGGCTGCTGGCGTTACCGCACAGGGCAAGGGCTGAACCCGGATCCCTGCGCCCACGGCCACCAGCTCTCTGCAGGGTAGGGCGGATCTTTAAAGACGAAAAACCTTTCAAAATACCCCAGCGCTGGGTCCCAGAGGTGTACAGCTCTGCCCACACGGATTAATCTCTTCAGGTGTCCATGCCCTCCTTCGCCCCGTTGCATATACCCAGGGCCATCGGCTTGGTGGCACTGAGCCCATCATGCCGAACACCAGCGCTCCCAAGGAGCTGGGGAGCAGGAGAGGAACCGGCTACGAGAGGCAGCAGCTCTGCCTGCAACAGGGGGCTCCGGGGCTGAGCTGCCTGGCCAGGTCTCACCCAAGGCTGGGGCAAACACAACCTTCTCCCACAACCTTCTCCCACCAAAGCGCGTGAGGGTTCAAAGGAGACCCAAGCGTCTCCATCCCGATGGCTCTGGAGGCAGCGGGCAGTATGGGCAGGCTGCTGCTCGCCCTGGGGTGGCCAGAGGAACCAGGGCTTGCCGGAGCAGGATGGGGTGATGCTCAGCAGTGGGGTGGCCTCGCTGGGCTCGGGCTGAGCCGTGAGGGGCCTCAGCAGCACGGAGAGTGCAGCAGGGCAGGGCTGGAGACCAGGCGTACTGGCGGCACTGGGAAGAAGCTGCAATCCGGCCTTTAACGGTGCCAAAGGGGACAGACAGGGCAAGAGCTCCAGGCTTTCCAATGGATCCACTGCGCAAAACGAGCGACCCAGACCTTTCCCTCCATCCCTCAACCAGACCCAGGCCCCCGGGGGTGCGGGGATTAGCAATCCCATTGGCACCAAAGCCCGTCTGGAGGTAGCGTGGTGCCCCGATCCAGCCTGCGGAGCTGAGGGCCACCCGGACCCTTGGGTGCTGGGCACCCTCGCTGCTCGCAGGAGCACGGGCTTTATCTCCGCAGCCTTGTACCACTCAGCACAGCCCACCCACCCCGCTCCGCACCAGCCCGTGCCTTCACAAGGCTCCTGGGGAATACACACCACAGAGGTCTCAGCTCCAGGGCGGAGCGGCTAATCTGTACAGGGTTAATTAGCCATGAGGCTGATGAGGCTGTCGCAGCCCAGGAAGGCTCCCTTGCCACTTAGTGGGAGATGCACCAAGCAAAGACATGCCTAAAGGCAGGCACTGCTGTATCGCCGGCTCCTTGGTTCCCTGCATCCCCCAGCGGGGTGGGACATGCTCTGCTCCACGCAAACGATGCCAGCAGCCAGAGTGCGGGCAGGGAGAGGAGCCCAAGCCACCTCCAGCCCCCCAAAGCAGCTGGGAGGAGGAGGAAGGGTCACAGGGTGACATCCTGGGCCAAACAACGATCACAAATCATGGCCTGGGGAGCACCACACAGACACACATCAGACTCCCAGTGGTATTTCATGCCTGACATCCACACTGTGAACCACAAATCCCAGAATAAAACAGCACTTCTTTGCTCAGTGGGGACCCAGCATGCTGGTGCGGGTCCATCGGGGCAGCGGTGAAGTCCAGCTATGTCCCTGGGTATTTATTTCGCCAGGGCCTGGAGAGCACACATGCACGAGATAACTGTCTCCGGAGAGGTGGGCAGGAGCCTCGGGCACAGCCGTGTGTTCCACAGCCACCATCTCTGCTGTCACCAATTCCTCTGGCGCTCCCGCCAGCACATAGGCATGCAAAATGCCTCCACAACCCTTCTAAGCAGATGCTTGAGGGGGAAAGGAAGCCTCGAGGCTTCATGGTGTCTCCTCCACGTGCCCCCACTGCCTGCAGGAGAGTGGCAGCACCCAGCCCAGCAGGACCTGGGCGACGACAGCGAGTGCTATATTACGAGGAGCACAGCAAAACACAGGTCCTCGAAAGTAAGGCAATGAACGGTGAAAGACATCATACATCTGGCCCTCCCCAGCTGGAGAACGCCGCTTGTTCTTATCAGATGTGGGGAAATGCGTATCCATCACCGCATAATCTCGGCACACCCACTGGTCGAAACTTTCTTGTTTAATCTTTTCTCTTTTTCTTTTTTTTTAAAAATCTTGATTTCCAAATCAAAGCGCTTGCATCCAAGGGCAAAGATCAGCTATCAGCTGAGCATTGAAGCGAAAGACCTATGGCTCCAGTCGCAGAGAGAAGAGAATGGGAGACAACGCGTGGCTGGAGAGAAAAGCCAAGTAATGTCAATTTTCAGGGCAGTTTTGGGGGGAGTCACCGGCACAGCCACAGCCCTGCCTCCCCAGAGCCACCTAGAAAAGCTGTGGCCCAATTCTGCACCTCAACCCCCTCAGGCTTTTGCGCTCTGTTTATATATCGAGATGGCTGATTAAAGGTGAGCATTTATTCTGAGTCGCATTTAAGGCAGCAGTGATGAAATATGCATTTTTCTATACTTGATAAGAGGGTGTTTGTTTATTATGGGCCGGGGTAAGATTTATGGACATCTTTAACTATTCATCGCCTTGTGCCAAGTGCCTGGAGGGTTGCAAATGGTGCAGTAAGGGACGGCTACACCCAGGAACAACGCTTCGACAGAAGATATTTTTCGTCTGGAAAATGTCAATTCGTCAAAGTCGATCCGGACACAACTTTGTTTTTTTTTTAAAAAATAAATCCAGATGTTCTTGTTTGATAAATAGCACGTTGCAGGGACGGGGGAGCCCGCAGCAGGATGGCACAGCCATAGCGGGGTGCCGTGCCGCCTCCCGGCCACCGCCGGCCACCCACCCCAGGAGAAGTGCCCCTGGAGCCTCCCAGCTGCTGCTTCTGCAGTGTTTTCCTTGCTAAAGACATTTTGGTCCTGCGACCAAGATAGGGATTGGGAGGAGAGCGGGACCAAGCAGGCAGCCATCCATCCCTCCTTTGCACGTGGTCATCCTCTGCCTGCCTCCGTCCCTGCTGGGGGACACTCCTGGAGCGATGCCGCGTCCGGGGGCTCCCGTGGGAGCAGCCCTGGCCCATCCCATCCCTGGCTGGAACTGTGGCCACAAGGACGGGACCCCTGAGGGGGCTGTTTAGGACAGCTTTGCTCACAAGCAGGACCTGGAGTTGTGAGTTAGGGTTGGGAAAGTGCTGTTCCTCCGGCAAACCCCCCCGGACACATCTCCCTGGGAAAGGTGACGGGTCTCCCCGGAGCCACACGCTGCTGCAGGACGTCCCCATTAATGCCAAATGAGTTCATCATGAATAATGTTATCGTGATCGATACAGCTCGCGGATTATTTCTAATCCTTAATAATGATTAAACCATTATTTTTCAAGTGTTACAGATCAATCAGTCCATCTCAAGGTGCGCTGCGTGCGGGGACTGCGAGATGCCTGGGATGCAGGCAGCGCTCCGGGGAGCCGGGCAGGGGTCCCATGCCCATACAGGGCAGCCACCAAAACCTCCCAGGCACTTCAGACCTGGGCTGGCCAACTGTGTGGTTCCAGCAGCAAGAAAAATGAGAGGAATTACCAAAAATAAAACATGGGTGTGAAATACCTGCAAATCCCCAGTAGGCTCTGGTGCAGGGACTGCCCTGGCCGTGGCACTTTAAAAAGTGCGGTTCTTTCCCCAGAAGTCACTGAGGGCTGAGGACAGGAGATTTAAAGGCTAAAACCGCCGAATTGAAATGACTCCGCAGGTCATAAAAGGCCAGCAGGAGATTTGCAAGGGATTGGAGATCCTGGCGGCGGGGTCTGCGAGGGGGAAGGTGCTGAGCGGGCTTTATCGCTCTCCGGCCTCTTTCGTATTCTGCACGGCGCTCCTCTCCGTCTCGCTGCTCACCCGGGCAGATCCATCAGGAGCTGCCTGCTCGGTGCACCGGCTCGCCCAGGATTAAGGAGCCTCAGGGATGGCACGGACTGGGGACGGGCAGGCGGCGGCAAAGGCGGCATGGTCGGGTGCGTGCCCTCCCTCCCGAACGCCATGCGGGAAAGGAGAGGGGAGACGAGGTGGGTGACATTTGGTCTGCCTAGAGCATGGCACATCCAAACGCACATCCACATTTTTCCTCGCTTTGCTCCAGGACCTCGCTTTTCAGCCTCCATCACCCACGAAGTCACCCTCCTCATCGCCCCTTCTCCCCATTCGCACCGGGGGCTCTCCTGCGTTGCTCTAATATTTTTGCACAGTGATTTTCCAAGGGAAACCGGTCCAACGCTCTGCTAAATCTCTCTTCCCAGCCCCCACGTGGCAATAAACGTGCCCTGGCTGCTCCCACCTCAGTCAGATCAGTGGGTTTAACATGGGAGGCAGTGGAGCAGAGACCAGGGTGGCACAGGGAAGCCAAAGGCCAAGGTTGGATTTATAAAACAGGATTAGGGCAAACACCCTGCGAGAGGAGACCCAGCAGCCCTGGGTAGCGGCAGCAATGCCACCCCTGTCTCCCTAGCCTCCCCACGGGATATCAAGCGCCCCACACCTGCGCTGACACCGGGGGATGCTCCTCAGGGAGCC